CCTTTGTTCTGGCGTAGATAGTTTTGTAGCTCTGTCCGGTCTAAGACATTGATACGCATCTGGACAGCGCCTAGTGTTGGGGCGGCTACCATCAGAGAGAATTGTAGATGCTAGCTTGTTACATGCGTTAACATGGCTGGCTACAATGATGTTAACATCTTCAGTCCTTGAAATGCCACTATACAGGGATAGACAGTTACTTTGAGGTCCTTAGTCAGAAGACTAGAAAGCATCAAGGGACAGGAACAGGTCCATCAGAAGATGCTTACAATTCTCTGCTCATGCCGAAACAGGCGTATTTAAATAGTTAAGTGAATTTAAATAAATAAATAGCTATTTATACAATTGGGAAGTCCCTTTGAAGCATCGCTGTAAGAATGTATTGCGGCACGCAGTTTCAATCTGGGCAAAGATTCGTTCCTGCATGAACCGAGATCAATTCGGTCAGCAAAACATTAGTTAGAACAGATAATTGTTAGATTTTGTCTACACGTAACATCGCATCACAGGGGCGTTTTCTAATTTGTTTGAAACTTGATGGCGTGGGACTAAACCCCCAGGCTGGTAGTATCTATATCCAGGCGTCCAGTCCTAATGCTGGTATATTTAACCGACTAGTGGAAAAAAGTGTGAAACCGACCACCGACTGCAGTGTTGAGAGCAGGCGACATCTAACATTGGTCCCTCCATAGACAACCTATTGAACCGTCCCCAGTGCTACGGTATTGACTAGTCAGCGATTTATCCCTGTTATGAATACATTAGGTAAGCATTACGGACTTAGGACCATACAAGTTGTCAGGCCTAATTCTCCGGATAGCTTGCTAACGCTAACTTGAGTCAGTAGTTATTCGGATTCTTGTGGCTCATATGATTTACGCTGGATGCAACAGTTTCCCTCCATCCAAAGTTGGCGTGACAAAGTTTTCATCCGCCTAAATAAGCGTCGCTCGCTGTGCATCGATATTTGCCTGCAAATGTACGTAAATTGCGTACCATGCACCAGTTTCTCTAGTGGACGCAATCCGCTACTGTCCAGTTAAGTACCTTAGTAGCCCTTTCATTATGTCATTTTGCCTAGGAATCAGTCAATGACGATGTTGGCCAGGCCATTTTATCCAGGAATACGGGAAAAGAGCTGTTTAACACCACACTATTCAAAGCTCCCGAAAGATACTTTTAAGAAAATAGCTTAATTTGCGTGTTAAACAATTCTACTCATCTCCTTAAGCGCCAATCATCCCATTGGTAACAGTGACATCCGTACTTCACCGGTACAATCTTAACATAGTTGGCATCCATCCAATACCAAACTCCGGCACACGGCTGAATCTTTCGCTCAGCATAAAAGGTAGAAGTCGCATTAATCTGGTGGACTACAATCTGTGCAGCGATACTGGCCTGTGTGTACATTTGGAGGTAGCTCACGTGTTTCATTGGAAGTCACAGAATCAAGATCAGCAACCATGCCATGCAAACATACATGATGTGGTGTTCCGACAAGAAGTCTGCAGATTGCATCACAGGAAAAACGCAACAATCCTCCAGTTGCTTCTGCTACCTTCTATGCAGATGTTCACTTATAGCTCCTCAAGCTCCTCATCCTTGCCATGGATGGGATAGACCGTAAAAATAAGTTGCAACCAAACCTTTTGCATCGAATTTATCACATACAGGCGAATACCGGTCTGGTACACGCGGAAACGGTTAGTAAGGTGACATGTCATTACAATGCTGCATGCATTTCCGTACGTCGTGCTTGGAAACTGTACTTTGATCGATACAGCAAATTAAAATTTGGGCATACACAATGGGTGAGTATACAGCTGACAAAGGGAGATTTAGCAATCGCTACTTGATGTCATTGCGAGCTGTCATGTCGTACATTTGAAGTCAAAACCGTTTATTCATCAAAATTTACATGGCTGGTTTAGGTATGTGGTATTTTGAGGAGGTCGTATGTGGAATCAAGGCCCGTGGAACTGAGAAGAGACAGGACACCAGAAACACTCCCATCCTATGTAAATAATCGGTGAGACAATATTTTACCCCTGGAGAGGCACTGCGCTTAAGCCGTAGTTACTGAGCACCAACTTAGCTATGACTATTCATATTAGTAAATAACCCCGTGTAGTCGCTGCGTAACGATGGCTAGCACCTGAAGAAGAATACAAGCTACTCTCGTGAAAAAAGCCAAAAATTCACAGTCACAATTCACCAAGTGTTTAAGGCTTGCAAGAGATGTTCTATAGGACTGCATAAGTAGCAAGTGGGCAATGAGTAGGAGGCATTCTGAGTGACCTTCAAAAAGAACAACACTCCAGTTACTTCCGGCTAGTTCTTACTCAGGCCGCATCAAACAACCGTGATCCACCCCCGTAGCATAAAAGTCGATTTTATGCTAAGGTGTATGCAGCGGGCTGATCAACGTTCATAAATGCAACTAACTTTTGAATCATTAGCGGACTTCGCCTAGTTTGGAAGCAGTTGTTTCAAGATCGATAAGCAGAAAAGTAGAGGAGAATTAGGTGAAGCCACAAATTTATCGAATGCATTGATCTCCATTCACTTTACGTACTTAAAAAAAGCAGAAAAAATATAAGAAGGTTACTAACACAACCTTGCTCATAAAGTCAATGATTCATGCGAAAAAATTTCAACCAGTGACTTAAATCATGGCCCTCTATCACTAGATATTACAAGGACTAGGTGTCCCACAGCAATCAAGCATTACGAAAGAATTTACCAAATAGCTCTAAGACTGTTTCTTAGTGAAGTAATGGCTCTGGGTAAACCTAACAAGAAACCTGGGCCTCGATCAACATTCTATTATCCAAACAAAAGCTTGCTCATTTTATACCTTCTATCAATCAGCGTCACTCACAAATTGGCAACTTTCATCCAAACGCTCCTTTAGAGGCATCCACTTAAACTCTGTTTTTGGCACTTCAGCTTAATTGTATACTCCTTGTAAACAGCTTTGGGCAATTAAGTATGAGGTTGTATCAGAGGCGTTGCTGCTTGCTCGCCAGGTATCACAACTTCCTCAAGTTTTCTTTTTCCTCTTTGTTCTAAGGTTACAGGTTACTCATTGTTTACCACCGCGGGAGAGCTTCCGCACCTTGGTTACGGCTCCGTAGCAAAGACAGGCAGTAGAACACTGACTAAGCGAGCAGCCCTAATCCGGTTTGCACCGGTGTGTTCCCATGAGTGATAACAACAACTAGTGCCATAAGCCACAACTGTTGGAGTAAGTGTAACTTCGCAGTTCAAAGAAGTAGCACTACAACGGCAGGGTAAGCGCGTGAGTGCAACGCAAACTCGGCTAAAATTATACAATCGTTGCGAAGACGCTACTGGAATTAGCTAGCTAGAGTACAGAAAACCGAATACAGCGTGAATGCGGAGTAAACAAGGTGGGTGCACCCGCAAAGTGAGGAACGAATTGTTATGGACAGGTACCCGAAAAGCAAGTTTAACGGGTAGTGTAAAGTGAAGCCAAGTGGCCACAATGTTAGCCCAAAGCTTCAAGGCTTGTTGGTTACAAGGCTACGATTGTATCGCGAGGAAAATGACCAAACAAATAATCGTGCGGATATGCATGTTCAGTAAGAGACGGAGTTACCACAAAAGCGAGATGGCATGCGTTGCAGGTGACACACGGTGGCGTCGGCGAAGGAAGTGCATCAACTAGATGTAGGCAGGTAACTTAGTGCCTGTTAGTGCCTTGGATCCGACTGCATGTATGACAGGCGTAGTGCATACCCTTCTTTACTAATTCACTTTGGCAAACAGATTCACGTAATATAGCCAACTAATGGAATTCTTTAATGGCACAAGCCTGCTAATTGTTAACTGCCTTACAGGTAACTTGGCTCTCACTTCTAACCTCGTATGCGACC